AGGAAGCTTTTAGTCTTGCTCAGGAACATCTACCATCAGGAACCTACAGAGGGTAGCTCATCAGGAACGTGTGTGTGCATGTGTGTGTGTTGGGATATAAAAAGGCAGATTCGTTATGGTTTAAACTGCCATTCAAAGTCCTCATACCTCCCTAAATAACTAGTTCCGGAGCCCATGGAAGGTCAAACACTAAGAATCAGCTCATATCATCTCTTCCCGTTTCTCTGTAGCCTTTCTTTCCGTGGGGTTCATGTTAGGCTTGAGTAGAATAAAGAGCCAAAGCGTAAGTCTAGGACTTCCGTTTTTCTCCCTTTCTCTTTCTTGCCTCTTCTGTAATTGAGTGGTATAGGGTTACATGTGCATGGTGTCCATTTGGTTGGCATGTGAGCTCAACATTCTTGGTTGTGCAGCAGGGAGCCTGAAGGGAAGCAGGGGCCATTCCAGGTATGACCACCAGCACGGGCCCATAGCGGTGTCTATTCTCAGCCTAGAGGCTCTTATTCCAGTGCTTGTAGGTATAGAACCTGGGGATGGGGAGGCATTAGATGCATGTTTCCACTTGCCGTTGCATTCACAAAAATGTGCATGCATATGTGTGCTCACACGTGTGCTTATGGGCAAGGCTCCTTTCCACATGTTGATTGGTTGTCCTGTTTCAGTTAGCTCTTCCATTGTAAAAGGGCATAACCGATTAGCATTGCCATTCAGCTAGGTGTAAACTGCATGCATGTTTGGAATGGACGTTTGACAAATGAACTCAGAAAACATGCAAAAGGGAAGACGTATGTGACTTGCATGCTCTCTGAGCCACCATCTGCTTCTTTAATACTGTCTAGTAATCAGAGTCTGGTTTTGGAGAAACATTAGAACTTTGAGGAAGTATGAGAAAAGTAGTTCCAGTTAGGTATCAAGAAGTAGACGACACCACGAGAGAACACCCTTTTGAAGTTTTGGTTTCTGTAGGCACAAAGGAAATAGGTCCTACCTATGTGAGGCTGATGAGCTGAGTGTGGCAGTCACTGGGGACACTGTTGTGGAGTGTCCTCCTTTCTCTAGAATGACCAAGGCTTCAGGTTGCTGTGTTGACAGAAACTGAGGTCACAGAATGTATTAGACTGTAATCTGTGGGACCACCAAGCGTCTCTCATTGTCATCACCCGTGTTCTGTAAATACTATTCATAATCAAAACAAAACAAAACAAAAAACTAGCCAAAGTAAGAGAACAGATTCTTTTTTAGGTTACTTTCTTTTCTTACTTTCTCCTTCTCTCCCTTTCTTCCTTCTATGCTTGCTTTTATGCTTTGGTAGGAGGTGGCATGAAGTTTGCAAAAAACGTAGGAAAAATAGCCTTTTTTTAAAATAAACTTCTTTCTATTTGTTTATTTTTTGAGAGATTTTTGCTATAGAGCACATGCACTCACTGGCAAGAACGAGAGAAACAGAAAGACAGAAAGTGAGAAATCACCACCCCACCCCGCCCCGGGATCCTTTCTCCTCCATTTTTCCTCTTGGGATTATGGGCATGCCCGCATAGGAGCACAATGTAAGTTTCAAGCCATTGGGTCCTGGACTCAAACCACTGTCAACCATGTGGGAATCTAGTGCTTTAGCCACTATACCACTTTCTCGCCCCTGCCTCTCCCCCTCCCCCCCCCGCCCAAGAACACACATGAATAATTAGCTACCATTGTTTTCCTCCCTTGTCCATCCTTCCAATACAATAAAAAAGCACAGTGGACTGGTAAACTAACATTGTAAATGTTCAAAGGTGGAGTTGCATCTTTTGGTGTCCGGGTGTATTTTGCATTATATTGCAGCCTTGATGATAACGTTTCTCAGGGGAGCCTGTGTAGCTGTCTCAGCATCAACAGGCAAGGAGCGAGAGGAACTGGCAGCATGTGGGGAAAATATTGCTCGGAATGTACTTCTGGGTACAATTTACTTTGATACTGTTCTCTGAAGGATCAAAATTGGTTCTTCATCTCTGACAAAGGAAAATGTGCACTCTCAAGCTTTAAGAAGCTGAACCACGTTTGAGGTGACAGATAAATTCCTGTGGGAAGATAGAATTGCATAGCGTAAAGAACAAAGGCTTTCTAGTTACAGAGATGTGGGTTTGAATCCTGTATTGACCCTTAACTAGCCTAGAGACCTTTGACAAATTAAATTGTCTAAGCCTGTACTTCTTTATCCACTCAATAGGTTGTCGCAATAATAAATAAGAATGTCATAGAGAGGTTGGCAGGTGGTACGGTGGTTAAGGCACTGGACTCTCACCTGGCTGACTGTGGTTCAAGTCTTGGACCTGGTAGCTTGAAAAATCATGCTGGGTATGTGGCCAAAATCCTGAGAGGAGAGGGGAAGAGAAGAGATTGTAATGTGGCCATATCCTGGGGCAGGAGTTGAATTTTCACTTTCCTTCTCTCTCTCTCTCTCTCTCTCTCTCTCTCTCCCCCCAGAATGGACACACACTCCCTATGGCAAAAAAAAAAAAAAAGAATGCCATATGGGGGTTAGCAAATGGCATAGTGGTAAGGCACTGAATTCCCATATGGCTGACTATGGTTCGAGTCCCAGCAGACACAATGCTTGAAAATCATGCTGTACATATGTACGAGCATGTTGAAAATCCCAGGAGTAAAATGGAAGAGAAGGGATGGCAGTGTGGCCACCCCCACCCCCACCCTGAGAGTGATTTCTCACTTTCCCTCCTTTTCTCTTTCTGACTCTGTCTGTATCAAGCGCATGTGACCTATGGCAAAAACCTTAAAAAAAAAATAAAAAAGAATGCCATACGGTGAGTGTCTAGTTGGAACTCAGTATATAGTAATGATCACTAATAAATCCACTTGCAGGTGAAAGGAAAAAGAAGAAACTGGACCCTGTGTGGTCTGTGGAGACGCCAGGATTTAGACACTCACGTTTGCATAATGATGTCTATGTCTGCAGTAGAATCCCAGGAAACACAGAGTTATTTACATTTTCCTCTGTTTTCTAGCTCAGTGACTACATAGCCTTAATTTTTAGATACAGTAGAAAAAGGTTCATGGAGGGCCAGCAAGTGGCATGGCGATTGGAGTGTTGTATTTCCACGTGGTCAATTGAGGTTTGAATCCTATACCCAGCAGCTTGAAAATCACAGCAAATAAATAGATAAATAAATACATACATATTTTAAAAAAAAAGAAAAGGGGGCTGGCAGGTGATATGGTGGTTAAAGGTGCTGGGCTCCCACATGGCCAACCGAACTGTGGTTTGAGCCCTGGCTTACTTTCTATCTCTCTCATTCTATCACTCTCTGGTCTAATTAAAATAAATAAATAAAAAAATAAATAAAAAAGATTAAAAAATTCTTCAAAAAAAAAAAAAAAAAAGAAGAGAGAGAAAGGGAGAAAGGTTCATTGCATCAATGCCACAGTTAGGAGTTGGAGAGACCAGACTACACATTGTTGAATTTAATTGTGACCTGGCAGTAAGTGCACTTGTATGTTTCTCTGTTTTCTAATATTTATCCACAGATGTATTGGGTTGTTGGGAAAGTCATGATGCATTTTTGTATAGAAAAACAGAAAAAAATTTGTCATGGCTTTTCTGACAACCCAGTATTTCAAGTATAGGCTGTTTTGTCAGTACATAGCACATGAGGTTTATAGGATCCATGACTCTAAGCATCTTTCTTTCCTTAGTCCTCCCTTAACCTCGACTCTTCTTCTTTCTCTTTAGAAATCATTATTGCCAGAGTCCAGCTGCCAGAGGAGGAATACCTGGGAAGTGCTATTATACCCTCACCTTTGCTGTTACCTTCCCACACAACGAGGATGTCTGCTACCTGGCCTACCACTACCCCTACACCTACACAGCTCTCATGGTAACTTCTTCTTCATGGCATTACCCCAGCAGGGCTGAAGGAACTCTCTGATGTTTGCCTGAAAACATTCAGGAAACCTGGTATTCTGGGTGGGTGGGTGGGCAACTACTGCCTTCTAAGAGAGCTGAGATTTATTGTCACTGATGTCATCATCCTGTGTGTGTCCTATCTGTCTTCTGCTCAGGGTATGAGACTGAATCATGACAGTGACATTCAGAAGACCCATGCAGTCTTTAGGTTGAATGTGGAGATGGGGGCATTTCTTTTTTTTTTCTTTTTCTTTTCTTTTTTTTTTTTGCTATAGGGTGTGTGCACTCGCCAGACAGACAGAGACAGAGAGATAGAAAGCGAGAAATCACCCCCGAGGGGGGCTGGCCACGCCACAGTCCCTTCTCCTCCATTCTCCTCTCGGGATCTTGGGCACACACGCACACGTGCCCGGCATGAGTTTTAAGCCACCGGGTCCGGGACGTGAACCGCGGTCGACTACATGGGAGCCCAGTGACACAGCCATTACGCTAACTGCTGGTCCCATTTCTTAAGGTCTCTATCATTTTTGGGGGAAAGATTTTTGCTATATGTTACACATGCTCACTAGAGAGACAGAAAACAAGAAATCACCCCCCAGGGGGGATGGCCATGCCACAATCCCTTCTCCTCCATTCTCCTCTCGGGATCTTGGGCACACACGCACACGTGCCCGGCATGAGTTTTAAGCTGCTGGGTCCGAGACTTGAACTGTGGTTGGCCATGTGAGAGTTCAACACTTTTACCACCTCACCTCCTACTGGCCCGGGTCTCTATCTTTAGACAGTGTTCACATTAAGCATGAGGTGGTCAGATTGGAATTGAATGGGATAAAACCATGCACATGAAACTGAGATGGAAATCTAAAGGACTTGGACTCATTGAGAGAAATGGAGGAATGGGGACAGGAAGATGAAGCTTGGAACACTCTCCGAGTCTGTGAGCAAGCAGCCACTTAAGTTTCTCCAGTGGGTCCCACAGCCCTGGGTTAGAGGCTGCTATTAGGATCTGGCATGGGTAAGAGGAGTAAAAGAGTAAAACATGGAATCACCACAAAGAAGGATTACCATCTTACTCTGAGGGAAGTCTTGCAGAAGTCAGTCTAGATTCCTAGTTAGCATTCCTATACTCTGTAAGGCCCTGTGAAATGTTCATGAGACATTTTTGAGAAAACCATTTAAACCATGCAGTTTTCTGTAATATGAGAAAGTAGGCAAACTTTCCCTTTCCCTAGCCATTTCATGGATATCCTGAGGATTAATGAGCTACTGTAGCTTCTATAAAGCACTTTCATCCTCTGTGTTAATGTAAAATGTTATTAGCATATTTGTAATAATATGTGTGTATATGGGTGTACATATCATTTAGCCTGAAGGATCAGCATTTTCATTTTAAGACTGTGATAAGAAGTTGGAAAAAGATAATAACCAAGAACATCTTTCCCTTCAAAAGAAATTTTCAGGTATAAATGGAAATTTCTCTCCTTGAGGAAGCATATCTTAAGCCACTTGGCTAACCGCTTCATGAAAGTGCATCTGTCCTTCTCTCCGTATGTTGTCTTGCCTAAAGAGAGACTTTTTACTGTTTCCCAGATTGCAAATGATGCACAACTAGTATTATTTGTGTTTCACACTTAGAGAGCTCAAGAAGTTAATCTAAGAAATGTGCATCACAAGCTATGCTTGTAACAAGCCGTGTTTCTGATAAAACATGTTTGTTGCCTGTAGGGACATCGAACAGGCGAGATTCATGATCCTCTTCAGCAGCTGGTGTTATGGTCTCGTCTGCCTATAAGGAATCTACTGGGAAAGGCTATTCTTTTTAAAATGTGTTTGTTTTTTCCATTGAAGGAAGAGACTGTGGGTCTAGGATACTCTTCTTTTCTTGTTCTTTTCTCTCTCTCTTTCTTTCTTTTTTTCTTTTGAAATATTTCTGGAAGGCTTATGTACTCACTAAAGAGGAAGAGAAAGAGAAAGAAAAAGCACCCTACCACTTGGGCATAATTACACCACAATTTCTTCTCTTCTAGTTCTCCTTCCTTTTGGGATTTGTGGCATGTGCACTCATGTGCCCAGAATGATTTTCTTTTTCTTCTTCTTTTTTTTTTGGGAGTGAGAGGAGATTTTTGCTATAGGGTGTGTGCACGTGCCAGAGAGATAGAAAGCGAGAAATCATCCCCCCCACCGCCCCTGCCCAGGAGGATGACCATGCCACAATCCCCTCCCCCCCATTCTCTTTGGGATCTTGGGCATGCACACACACACACACACACACCCCTGGCATAAGTTTCAAGCTTCTGGGTCTGGGACTTGAACTGTGGTCAGTCTTGTGAGAATTCAGCAATGTAGCCATTATGCCATTTGCTATTCCAGCTCAGTGTGATTTTCAAGCCACTCAATCCGTAACTCAAACTGCATGATGTGCTGTGTGGGATCTAGTTCCCTTAACCATTAAACCATGGGGCCTGTCCAAGTCTTGCTAGAATAGTCTGAACTTGGGGTCAGCAAATGGTGTAGTGATTATGTCATCGGACTGCCATACGTTCGACTGCCATTTCAGTACCGGAACCTATGGCTTGAAAAATAATGCTGGGCATGTCTGCATGCATACCCAAGATAATGGAGGAGAAGAGATTGCAGTGTGGCCATCCTCCCTGGGGGTGGGAGGGGATGATTTCTCACTTTCCTTCTCACTGTTTCTGTCTCTTTCTCTCTCTGGCAAGTGCACGTGCCCTATGGCAAAATTCTCTTAACCCAAAAAGAATAACCTGGACTCTGCTGAGATTCTCTGTGGCAGTTAGTATAAAACATTAGAGCTCAAAAGGGTTTGGGAAGTTGTCGAATGCACTCTTACCTTTTGTCAAGGGAAAAACAAGCTTAGAAGTCCCACATCAAGCTAACAGTCACACGGGAAACAAAATGCCAGCCTTGGGCGTTTATTGCTGTGGCCTTTTACTTTACTTGTAGAAGAAATAGGAGAGGAAATTCGGAAGAATTTTTGTTCTGGAGTCAGGTCAGTGTCCTTGCTTGCTATGACATGTACTAGCTACTGAAAGGTACAGCTCAGTTTTAGAGGGATGGCTTGTTACTGCATTTTGATGGCATAGATATCGATGGTCACTGAGCTCAAGTGGGCAGGCCGTGGTTGGTATCTGAAACACTAAGTACTGTGGATGTGGATGAAATTTCTTTTCTCTTTTCTTTTTCTTTCTTTTGTGTGTGTGTGTGTGTGTGTGTGTGTGTGTGTGTGTGAGAGAGAGAGAGAGAGAGAGAGAGAGAGAAAGAGAGAGAGAAAGAGAGAGATTTTTGCTATAGGGCTCATGTGCTCACTGGAGAGACAGAGAGACAAAAAGTGAGAAATCTCCCAGGGATGGCCATGCCGTAATCCCTTTGCTATGTTCATTTTGGGATTTGGGGGCATTCATGCACACACATGCCCAGTATAAATTTCAAGCCAGTGGGTCCAGGACTCAAAACACAGTCGACCACATGGGAGTCCAGTGCCTTAACTACTACACCACCTACTGGCCCCCCAGGATGATATTTCTTACCAAATGTAGCTCAATTTTTATCCAAAGACGTTCTGATAAATTCTTGCTATGTTTCTACAAGCCCTTTTTTAAAGAAAATATTTTTGCTATAGAGCACATACACTTGCTGGAGAGACACACAGAGAGAAACAGAGAGACAGAAAGGAATAAATCACCCTCTGAGGGGTGGTGGTGGCTATGCCACAATCCCTTCTCCATTGTCCTCTCAGCATTCTGGGTACTCACACACATGCCTGACATGAGTTTCAAGTTGTTGGGTCTGGGTCTCAAACCATGGTCTACCGTGTGGGAGTCCAGTGCCTTACGACTATGCCACCTGCTGACCCCAAGTCTCTAGCCCTTTCAACTAGGCCTTTACCACACCTGGATGCTTATCTTCTGCTTCTGGGCCCACTTAGCCTCTCTGGAGACTATCACAGCAGAGCACAGAGTCTAAAGTTTATGATTACAAATAATTGTAATTCAGAACCATTGAGGTAAGTGAGATAATTTTGTCATAAAGAGAGAAGAAAATATAAGAAGCCTCCCTCCCTCCCCCTCCCCCTCCCCCCCACAAGACACTTAGTCTCAATGGGGTGGGCGGAGCTTGTCAACTCCCGGTCATTGGCTTGTTCTTTAGCTTTTTGACTGTGAATCTCTTCCCCCTAGGGAAGTTGGAAGTGCGTTAACAAGAAGGAGATAGGAAAAGGAATATCTACTTATTTCTCTGAAATAAGCAGAACAGAGTTAGAATGATCATTTGTCACTCAAAAGTGACAAATGCATATTCTTAATTTTAGGTTTTACATTTCCAATAACTCATGGTCTTTGTCTTCTCTAGGTTTAAGACAATAATTGACTCTGTGGCTTTTCTTTTAAAATTCTTGCTCCCATTGTGGACAGAATGAGTACATTCTGTAATATATACTAGTCATTTTTATTTTTGCACATGTCCTAAGGAGACACAGTTTCTCTTCCTACGAATCAGTAATACCCCAAGAGTGGAATTAACAGTATGTTACTTAGGGGTTATACTGAAGGGTAGAAAATATATTTCCATGTGGAATTCACAATTTGCAAATCTCTTATAATATGGAGTATATTTAATAATTTCAGACATTTTTATAGTAGAGGACTTGTATGTTAGATGTTTTTTCAATATGAATGCAATTTTGAAACTTTTTAAATTTTATTATTCTCTTCTAAGAGCATTGGTATTTGGGCCTTTCAAATTGACATCTTCAAGATGCTTGCCAGCAACTCCATTGGATAATTGTCCAAATAAAGTATTAAAATAAAGCTAATAGAAAGAAATCCACTATTGTTATTCTGAAGAAAAGAAAAGGAGTTTTAACTGAATCAGTTATATCAAGATACCAGCAATTGCAGTGATTGTTCAAGTGTTGTTGACAATATTTGTTGAAGTATTGGGAATTTGTAATCA